TTTCTTTGATTGCGGCTAAACTATGGAGTATATAAAACAATGTTTGAAACAAAACTAATCAAATATATATCAAATAATTTAAAATTATTTTCGACTATACAGGGACACTCAGAGCAACGGAATAAACCACAGTTGTGTTTTTTAATGGAACACCCTGTATACTAAAGCATTTTTGAATGTATTTTTAAAAATATAACGAGTTTGTATAAGGTTTTGTATGCCTAAAATTATTCATTTTTGAAATATTTACACTCTTGTGCATTGGGTTTCCAAGGTAATAAAAATGTAAATGATATGTTAGAAATTTTATAATGTAGTGATGTTTTTAAACAATTTTATACTTTTGACATCCAGCTATACAATATACATTATGATCACTATTTTCAAATACAAAATGTTCTCATTTTTTAAAATGGAACACCCTGTATATTTGTTAAACTGTTTGTTCGGGCTGTTAGGCCGTTGTCTTCTGAGATTAGTTCTCGACGTTTCGCCAATACTAGAGGTTGGCATCTTCTGGAGATGTTACTGCTTCGCTTATAAGCTGAAACTGACGCCGCGTTCAAGCAAGCAATTTAATTGAACCCAGCCTGTGAGAAATGTTCACCCCTATGAATTACGGTCGGGTGTAACAATTCATTGGAGCGAGGTGTGTTAACTCGTGTAAAAAGAGGAGTCACCCCACCGCGCTCCAATGCTCCAGACCATCCTTTTCCCCCCTATAGCACTCTGATGCGCTATATCACCTCCACTAGTTTCGGCGTGAGGGGGCGTGTCGTCGTTTGTAAATTTTCCTTTTTCATGATTTGGGGATTTTAATATTACTATCCATGTTTTGTTAATTTTTAGTCCTTCTTTTATCCGATTAAAATTATTTGGTTCTACCTCGCATTTCATAATTTCTGATCCGTCAGTACAGTTTTGGTAGAATTCGGCAATGTTACTCCTGTAATCTTCAACAACTTTGATATATACAGCTGCCATTCTTTTCTTAGTTCGTGCTCATTTACAATAATTGTGTTATAATTGTCAACGAGTACAGAGGGAACTCGTTTTTTAAATATGTTACTTATTTCTTTTAGCTTTTTGTTAATTTTAAATAGGTCGTGTTTCGATATCACATCCTCCATTCAGCGGCGGCTCGTGGCCTAAAAAAGTGGTGAAGACGAGGAAACCTTGCAGGAGGCAAAAGGAGTTTTGGTACCTACGTCGCGCCCAAATCTCATTAAATAAATGTATAGAGTTTAGGGCACTAATAACTTGAAAATAATTAACAACTTGAAAACTAGATTAGATACGATTCGACATTTCATTGAGGTTTTTTTTACATAAGGAAAATCTGCATACAGACACCGGTACAGCGAAGCTGTGCAGGGGCGAGATACCCAAGGAATTTAGACCTTTGACACCTCGCCCCGTCACCACTCCGAGACGGTCGGCGTCCAACTAAAAACCTCTCCTCTGTCACACCAGACATCAGGATGGAAGGGCCAGTTAAGGCATACATCTCTCCCGATGCCCTGCTATCACCCGATTCCCATTCTTTCTCCGACACATTCATCCAGGAAACCACACTCACACGAATCACCAAAGACTTTTAACCCCCTGCCTTAGCGAGGCTGCCATCTCTCTCGCGTCGTCTGTCTCTTACTCACTCTTATTTCGGCCTGCGACAGTCCGGACCCTACCAAGGTGCTACTCGCTTATCTTAAAATTCTGTTGCGGGTTCCCTCTCCTCTCGTTCTTTTGAAGAGAGCAGCTCCCTGACAAATTTGTGGATCCGTGTCCACCACCACTTATCCCTCATCATTTTCTCCACCATTTCTCCACGGAATCAAACATTCTGCAGTTACACTCTCTTACAAACTTCTCTCTTTCAGTCGCCCAACGCTCACACTCCAACATCGTGTGTGTCACAGTATCCGGGAAACCACAGTAAAGGCACTGATCGGACTGAGCCCTCCTAAACCTGAAAAGGTAGCTGCGGAAGCAGCCATGGCCTGTGAGCATTTGCGTTAGATAGTAATCCAGCTGCCTATGCCCACAGTCCACAGGCCAATCACTCTGGATCAGACACTGTAGTGTTTACTGGTTTTGGTGCGCCCCGAGTATTTCATTTCCCCGGTACCACCTATATCTAGGAGACATTCCCCTATCCGAACAATAGAAGAATATGGAGGAGACCTATATCCAAAATTGAATGCAAGAGGTTGCGGAATGATGATGGTGATGATACTAGAACCGAGGGTGAAAACATACTTAAACAAAAAAAAGCAGTATTAGATAGACTAATAGAACTGACTTATCTAGTTTTTATAAATCAAGTCGATCCTTCGGTCTATTAAGGAGCAAATCTATCAATAATATCCTCGTAGAAAGGATGCTTCTGCATAAGTGCATTCAACAGTTCTTTATGAAGTGCGATAACAGTCAAACTGGATAGTCTATATTGTGAAATAGTGTTTCTTGTAAAACTTTTTAACCTTTTTATTAACGAAAAACTTCTTCTTACGGATACGCTTGTCGATGGAATTAATAGATGATCCTAAACTGGATAGTCTATCTTGTGAAATAGTGTTTCTTGTAAAACTTTTATAACCGTTTTTAGCCTTTAGCCAGCTGAACTGATTTGCAGTCTGACTCTTCAGAATCCATTATATTATCAAGAATCTCTTTTAATTTTTCCCAGTCTTCAATAATTACACTGATTACTTTTGAATTAGACGACCATCTTGTCTCTGTAATTGTTGACATACGTCTAGCCGATGTAGATGCAAAAGCGTACAATCGTTTTGCTGAACTATGAAAAAACGATGGGATTCCGGTAATAGTTAAAAAATCGACGTTTTGATATTTTCTTAAAGCTCTGTTGCAAAACAAGATTAAGTCGATGGGCTAGACGACAATGCACAAAAATTGCTTGTGGGGCATGTGATTTAATTTTTTGTTGAAGTCCATTTAAGTGCCCTGGCATCACACTGGCTCCATCGTAACACTGTCCTACAAGCTTATGTCGGTATTCCAAAGGCTCTAAAACTGTCGCAGCCATACTGAATAAATGCTCAGCTGTTCTACTGGCACTTACATCGTAAAATCCCATAAACCTGTCAATTAATAGTCCTTGAGAATTTACGCATCTTAATATTATTAAAGTCAGTAATGTCATCAATTTGGAGGGAAAAATGGACTGTTTTTAATTTCAGTTATAATATCATTTATGTAACCAGAAATGCACTCATTTAATTCATTTTGAATTTTTTTGATTCTCCCCTAAAAAACATTTTTGATTTTTTCGTAATGATTTTTAGTTTCCACTTTATGTCTGTCTAAAATTATTTTTGTCCAAACGAAATCCACGAGAACACTTAATATCCGAAATCCGAAACAAACCACAGAAAATGTATTAATAAAGTGCACTAAACAAATAAACTTAATACTGTGACTAAACTAAACTAATAAATACTATACTTTATAAACTATACTATATAAAAAAATATCTAATAAATAGACTAAATTTCAAAATATTGTCACTGAGAGAAATTTCCGAAAAATAGGAACACTACATACACATCAACTAGTGGGTGAAGACGGATAGTTTATTTTTCAATGGATCTGCACTTCCTAGTTTCCTCAGTTATCACTAACGACAGGCTGACGTCACGTAACCGTGAACGCTAATGCAGATGAATTTCGCATTTCAAAAATGCCTATTTCTGAATCATACACGGCTAGTGACACAGGTCAAGACTTGACCGTCAAGTACCTACTGCTAATAAAGCTAGTTGTCTTTTTTAATTTTTAGATTAATTAATAGAGAATAAGTAATTAATTTCAGAATTTAGATATAATAATGTTGCTTTTATTTTTTATTTATATGTCTCAATTTAATTATATTTTTTTGGTGAACCTCACCTTCACCTACTTCTCCTGGCCGGCCGCCGCTGCCTCCATTTCGTCGCACCTTTCTCTCATCCATTTTTCTTTTGCTAATTTGATCTCATTTTTTATTCTTCTCTGCAGGTGTCTATATTCTGTTTCATTAGATTTTATCAGTCGCCGTTGTTCCATTAATTTCAAGATGTCTGTCATCCATTTATTTTTCTTGATTAAGTTTTCTCTATAATCATTGTTTGTTGAGATTTCGTTAACTTGGTTTTTAAATTAACTCCCTAGTTCTTCTGGATCTTCTAGTTGTTCTCCGATGTTTTTTTTCAGAATTTGGGTACTTACATTAAAAAGTTATTTAGCAGAATTTAGGTACTTATATTTGTTCCGTAGTTGTGGGTATTTGCGTGGGTCCTAATCGCCTCAAGAATTTCTGTCCAGTCGTACGTATTCTCCCACGTATTCCCATATTTCTCATGTCTTCATTGTTGTTATCAAGCAACCTTATTCTGGGTCTTCCTCTTCTTCTCTGAGCGTTTTTCTAGCTGGGTCATTTTGTTCCATCCGCATTACATGCCCTATCCACCTCACCTCAGACTTCCTATCTTAATATGTTTTACGATATCAGGTTCCTGGTATATTCTATAAAGTTCGAAGTTGTATCCACACTCCATTGTCATTCACTGCTCCATAGATTCGCCTTAGTACTTTTCTTTCGAAACACCCTAACATGTTTTCATTACTATTTGTTAGAGTCCAGCTCTCTGAACCATATGTTAGGACTGGGCGTATTATTGTTTTATAGAGTTTTATTTTTGTATTTCTTAATATAATTGTGGACTTAAGGAGGGAGCCCAAAATAGCATCTGTAGGCCGTGCAAATTCTGCGGTTTATCTCTGCGGTAGTATTATTTTCAGTGTTACCTAAGGAGCGCTCCCAGGTATACAAATTCGTTCACTGCTTCGATGACGTCGTTTTCTATGAGAAGTGGTCGTGGAATATAATTTAACTAACAATAAATTTAGTACAGGAAATTTGATAGGGTAGAAAAATTGATTGTTTACTTAAAACCGTCTGTGAATGACTTAGTTGACTTTATTTTTTTATTTTTCAGCTGCCAAATCAGAGATGGTGAAATCCAAACTACCGAACTCAGTACTGAGTAAAGTATGGAAACTCGCAGACGTAGACAAAGACGGCATGTTGGACGACGAAGAATTTGCTTTAGCAATGCACTTGATCAATATAAAAATCGACGGTAATGATATACCTGCAGTATTGCCCGCACATTTGATTCCACCTTCAAAGCGTTAATATTTATATTCTTTCGTTATTTATAGTCCACAAGTGCTATTCATTTCAAAGTTTTGTGCCTATATCATATATGTACAAACATTGATTTTACTGCCTTTTTTATTCTTCTTGCAATTTTTTTATAAAATATCGAATATTTCACAAAACATTGTTTTTCATGCTGGGATGTATCGTATCTAAATCTAGACCTATTTGGTAATATATTATACACGTCACTGTGCTAGCGTATTACATATTGTAATCAATAATCGTTTCCTACTGATATGAGTGATATAAGCTGCCTAAATAATTCCATTTTTTTATCTTATCTTTTACTTTTACTTACTAGTACTAGTACAACATAACTGTTTATATAATCTCTAAAATCGTTTACATTTCATTCTAATTTTGATATAAATTTCAATTTTCATTTGAGACTAAATAATTTCATTTGTATCCTTCTAGCCCTCGTATAGGTGTAAAATTTTGGCTAGTGAATATTGTATCCGCATGCAGATGTAGGAAATCAACTCCCAGTATCTATTCTATAACTTTGTTTGAGATTATAACAACCTGGATGTCTAGAATTACAGTCTTAAGAGTTTTGTTCTTATTTAGTTATGTGCTGATACTTCCGCACAACTCTTAAAATTTTTATTTTTCTTCTCTCTTCATTGCCCCATTTAGATATATTATAAACAGGGTCGAGAGATACAACATACTTGTGGCAGGACTCTATGGCTTTCTGATAGTTCCTTTTTAATTTTATTTTTTATATCTTTCTAAAATTTGGCACATAAATTTAGCAACTTGGAGAATAACAGTGTTTTGTGTCTTACACGAACGGCAGTATATCTGTGGTTTATGATCAAATATATTGAAATCCAGTGACAAAAAATTTTTGAATAAGTTTCACATACTTAAGTGAATTATATAGCTTTAGTGTCCATTTTTATATCATAAAAGATTTGAGAGGTGCAATTGATGTTTTAATCCAAATTTCAAAGTGTAAGTCGATATATTTACACATAGAACAATTGTTAAAATTTTATGTGGATGTACTGAATGTTTTTCTAGTTTTAATTTTAAGCCACACATCAGCTGTTTTGGATTGTAGAAAATTCAATTTTCTAGAACATTGTGAGAGTGATAAATTTTGAATAGTCCTCTATCTTGATAGTTTCTAATTCCTTCTTACGTATATGTATATCCATTCTTATCAGCAATGACAAAATACTATAAGAGGATTAATTAAATTTATTACTTGGTTTTTAAACATCCAACAGTTTCTGTATGCTGCTTGTGCAGTAGATAGTTTAGTATTTATTGGAGAACTGTATGAATTTCTTTTAACACGTCAGGTTTACACGAAATGTCAAAATGTAATAATTAACCCCGTAACTAAAATGCATTCGTAATTTCATTTAATTTAGGTTTCAGTCCTTCACATATTTTGATCAACAGATCACTTCAGTATTTTTTATTCCTAAGTTAAATCAAGTACTAACTTTATGTTTAACAACTATAGAAGTTTGTTAAATTTCATCAATTAGAATAAGTTTAAAAAGTTAAATCTATGCTGTATTTGCAACACAGGAGTACCGTATCATTTGAAACACAAAATTGTCTGCCAAATCTATAGCTCCTTGTGAGAACTCTAAACAATTAATTTGGGATTTTATTTAAAATTATTCAATCTAAATTGCTTCTATGAATCACTGAATATGAAATATTATTTCTTACTTTAAACACTTCAGGTCACAACGTAAAGGGTTTTCAAGAGGTGGAAAATAACTAAATATCAAATATAATCCCCATGCTGGTCTTGTGGATCAATATTTTAGGACACCAGTTCAAAAAGACGTATCAATATAGATTTTAACATCATGAACCCGCATATGTTCCAAATGCCCATGGGAAAATAGATGTCCATACATTTGAAATAATTCACTGGTGTAGAAGCGTCTATACTAATGACCAAAATTCTGAAAACTTAACAAACATTTTAGTTTTGCTAGCAGCATACATCTTTTCACACGACTTATGTTATTTACAAGATTATTTAGTTTTATTGCATCGGTATAATATGCTTTTACTTAATATTTAACGTCTATTTTAAAAGGAAAAACCCTTTAAAAGATAAAAAAGCAAATAAACAAAATAGTAGTTCTTCGAGCCAAATCTTCTGGTGTAATAACTCTAAATCAGTTTTGAATAAAAGCTTGTATCAGTTTCCTTTTGTTCCTAACACTTTCAGCCTTGACCTTAGATCTTCCATTGGATTTAGGTCGGAACTATTTCCAGGACAGTAATGGCATAGTTTCTCAACCATTCCATTGTAGTCTAAGCCGTATGACAGGAGCTTCAACCTGCCGGAAGATGCAGTGTTGAGTATCCTATTCAAACAAATCTCTAATAGTCGGCAGCAGTTTAGCTTGCAGTGTTTCTTCTTTATATTTTTTTCATTAACATTGCCCGTACCATGACACTTATAGGGTGATTTATAGTACACTGGGGCAAAAGGTCTTCTCTAGTCGGCGGCGAACAAAATTCACTCCATCACTCCCAAAGATCGAGATTCTGGTTTCATCACTTCAAATTACCTTATTCTACTGTTCTGTCCACTCTCTGTCTGACAAAGCTCAATCAATGCGTTTTTTGTCCCAGTTTTTTTTTCAGGAACGGGTTCTTTCTAGGGATTCTTGTTCGCAATCCATTTTCAAACAACTTTCTTCCGACATTTGTAAGCCAGTTGATTTAATCAGCATTAATGCCTTTAAAGACAGGCCTCATCTTCTGCGCTCATCGTATTGACTAACTTTCGGTTTTCTGTCTGTTCTTTTTGCTGAAGTCACTAATAAACACTGGAAGTCGCACGAAACTGTACTAAACGCTTTCAATTGGACAACTAAATTACGCCACTCGCCGTTGACTGACTAGCGAAACTCTGACGCGATACAATATTGCCAGTGTTGCCATTCACAAATCTCTAATTTTTGGCGTATCGCTTGATTCAGTTTCCATAGTTTGTTAAATAATTATGTAAATATTTTTTTAAGTTTCTAGAATTTTGGCCACTAGTGTATTCATTAATCTGTAAAGACTTAATATTAAAATTTTGGGTAGGTTTAAAGGCTTTTTAAATTTTATTCTACTTCAAGTCTGTAATACGATCCCAATACAGTATAAACGTACTTTTGATGAATATAAAGCTATAATTATGTTATTTTTTGTATTATGAAATACTGTTTGAACGGCTTTAATAAATAATTACTAAAAATTTGGCACTGTTGCAAAAAATATAAATATTTATTATATTCCGTTTTCATATCATAAATTCCTTAGTGTATTTGGCAGGTTCAGCGAAGATTTATTAACTTAAGTATACATTTTATTTTATTGTATAAACCGTCACTCAATAAGTCCCTGACCTAACTAATAAAATAACTTTTAGTCAAAATTTGACATTTTTTACCGAGTCACACTGTTTCCTCAACCGTTCGACGCAGTTTTAGTAAAAAATATGTCTTTGACCACAAAATGCTCCTCAGTTTCCTCAATAACCTCCCCTTGTCTTGGAGGTTACCAACATCTTGTAGGGGACCAGATTTGGAGAATACACTGGGTGCGTGTTGTCGAACGAACTCTTTTGCTTCTTTATTGGTTTTCTCTTAGTTTCTTTCTTCAAGAGGAATGTTCTATTATATATATATATATATATATATATAATATATAATATATATATATTATATATATATATATATATATATATATATATATATATATACATAATATCTTAGCTATATACAAGTTAATAAGTATTTGGACGTCTAGAATCTGCTACTATCTAGTCCGACTTCGAAGTAAAATGGTTGATCCATGTTTCATCCATTCTCTTACAAAGATGAAAAAAGTCTGTAAACAGTTCAAAATAACGTCGATACGTTGTTGTTTTTGATAGACTATGAGCAAACATAACATCTACTTTGAATAAATATTTACCATTGCTAAATGTTTCTGCAAAATCGACATTGTCTTCTGATAACTTCATCTCTTGTGTTCTCACACACACATCTTCAATTTACGATCACCCAAAACGATTTTGTGATCTCTCGGAATATTTTCCGGGATGATCAACTGTCTAATTTGGAAGATCAGAGTATTCGGAAATCTTAACCGTTATTTGAACAATGTTTTATCAACACAAGAAATTCGAATTTTTCCATCGTTTTAAAAATCGCAATAGCAACGACACCTAGACTACTGTAACTTATAGACTACTTCTCCGATTGAGTTCAAATTTTGGAAGGTACCGTTGGAAGGCTAAAACTTTTAAAAACATGAATTTGTTATCGTGGCTCCATCTATATGTTAGCCCAGAGACTTATTGATTGGTTTGGTACATGTGTAGAATGCAGTTAAATTTATTTGCATGGGTGCGTTTAATTCTCGCAACAAGTAATGTTTTTCTCGCATATTGTGATATATTTTGTTAAAACTAATGTATAAATGTAACCATGTAGGACTTTTACTAAATTACTTAAAGAATATATACAGGGTATAGATTTAGTCCGAATAAAATGGAGGGATATATTTTTAATATAGCAACAGAAATTCACAGACAAGTTGCCCAAGAGGGAGAATAAAGAGGCTGGTGTTGAAAGACATGATCTTGCACTGAAGAACAATAAAGGAACATAAAATAGAGTGTCTGAAATAAGTAATACAGAAAAAATAATCCAATAAACAAACCGCAGTGCGTTATCAGTGTTACCATATCAAATAAGAAGCTTTGTATAATGTTTATCGTCAACGAAACTATATGTCAAAATCGTGAAGGACCCTCTACAAAACGTCCAGTACTTGATGTATCTGTGATTATGTTGGTATTCAGTAAAAGGAATTTGGTATTAGAGGAGTTTATATCACTAAGTTGACAACTCGGAACTTTAACGTTTTCTACATGGTTGTATTATTTAATATTTCTATTCAGTTTGTTTAGGGAAAACTTTTATTGCCACTACATAAATGTGGAACATACTGCAAAATGAACTGATAGCAAATTCTAAACAGATTGTACACATTTTTTTATATCGCCTATAAATAGATAACTTGCTTATTATAAAATGCATCAATGCGATCAATAATACCGTTAGGTTTTTTACTACATAACTATTTTTTCAAATTTATGTGTAGGTCATAACAAATTTTGGTCCATGAGTGTATCTACTCTAACCTGTGATGTTATTTGGGAAATGTACTTTTAAAGACTCTGAAATATGCTAAAATTAATATCACGAGATATTTTCAGTAGTCTTAGGAGCAGGAACATATTAAATAATTCAACTATGTTTATTAAAAGCTATTCCAAAGAATATTAAGGAACTTTCTTTTAGTTGAAGGTCAATCTTGCTATTTCTGCTCTACTTGCCCTATTTATTTTTGTATCCAGTTAAATTAAGAATTTCAGTCACAATATTGGGCATCTAAAGTTCTGCGTTTGGGCACACTTGCTCTCTATGTGCCCTGTAGAATCTTCTTAGGATCTTCCTTTCCAAATTGCATATAATTATTTTATCACCAGCTGGTCGATGTTGCCGATAAGTGGTTGATAATGGGTGGTATTCTAAACACAGTGTCGTGGTGGCCCCAAACCGAACACCGTTTGGTAAATCTATAGAATCTGAGCAGGTTCGTCCTAGCTAGCACATATTTAATTTTTGATAGGCTCGCAAAACAAGTAAAATTGGGTAAAGAACCCTTTCATACACAAAACGAAAGCTCTAGTTTTAACAAATAAAGTAAATATATTAATAATAATTTAAACATTTTCCAAATATTGATCACAGATATGAAGTTGATAATTTTTATATCGGTCCAAATATTTAATAAATATAAACAATGTGATAATTAAAAGTTTGTACTCTGTACATTTGTATTATAAATATAACAGTAGATAAGTATGACTTTTTTCTTATTTTTTTGGTATATTTGTTAACTGCCGAATGAATTAAAGTTTTTAAATCATTAGAAAGGTCATATATTTTTGTATATTATTCCAACTTGACACGACTGTTGCTAGTTAGCACTTGTAGGAGTTTGTTAACAATATTTCGTACCATTTCATTATTTAGTATGTACATTATTTAATTTAAAGAAATACATTATGTTATATTATCTGTTTATTTCATTTCAATAAATATATTTAGCATTTTCCTTTATGTAAAAGTTTAAAATAGCAATTATTTTTTGACATATACCTCCCTACATCCTTTCCTTGATCTTATTTTGTATGGATGCGATCCCTTTTTCAAAAATCAAAAAGTACTGCTTTTATCATGAAAGCTACTAGATGCCTATTACTACGAAGTCATAATCTGTCTAGTGCAGCCCTGCACTTAGTCGACGTTAACTCAGTGCAGAGTTTTTAAGCCCCTTATTTCAGTAACGTTAAACGTTATAAGTTATTCTGCTCATGCGCATTAACAGAAAAATAACGGATTACTTTATTAGCGGATAAGGTGTTCCCTTATTTAGGTTAAGATAAGGTTAACGTTATTAAGGGATTACGTGTTTGTAATGTTGTCAAATGCCAGACATCTAAATCATAAAAAACAAAAAAAAAACGTCATATGAGCAGCTCTTTTTCCTTGTCTAAGAGCAGAACCAAAGATAACGATGATAGAAATAAAAAAAAATAGAAAGTTTAGTTCAGCATCTTTCTCTTCAATTGTTTCCAACACAAAATGTAGTCTTGGTGCAACAGGTATTACAGGATCAAAAATATTGGGAATAATTAAGCCTCTTATCAAATTGTAATCTATTACTTCTCTGTGTCTTCGTAGTCTATTTTCTTAGATTATAGCAAATTATTCAAATAAAATAAGTTATAGAGTATAACGTGGTATACGTGCCGTTTTATAGGTTACGTTCGTCAAATGTCAATTAACGTTAATCTGTCATAGCTTAATTTCTGAAAGGATTCAAAAACTAAAACTATTTTAACTAAACTAAACTAAACAAAATTTAACTAAAAACGTTATCCCTTATTTATTATTCAAGGCGCATGACAAGTTATTACGTTTAACGTCCATCAAAAAGTAAAGGGCCTAAAAACTCTCTAGTAGTGCTCAAATTAATTTTTTTTCAAAAAATGTAACTCTAAACAATCCTAATTGGTTTTATTGGAAAATATAATAAAAAATATATAATCATTAGCAACTACGTTAGGTACCGTGCCCATATAGACATGCTAAGCTGTTTCGGGTAAACATTAAAACAAGTTAATATCATTTAAAAAAATGAGATTTGAATTTGTATTGGCACAAAAAAAACAGTTTGACAGCTGTTGATTTTTTTGATTTAGGGTTAGTAAAAATGGAGCAAGCGAGGTGTTTTAATGCCAAAAAACCCTTTTCAGGAAACATGTCGAATTATGAAACAAACGGAATAGGACCCCAGGTGGGTAAAGTTACTAACTCGGAATCCCACGCCGGGAAACCGGTTCGCCTCAAGGATTCTGGGGGAGGCAAATATTCGATAAAAATAAATGTAGGAATTTATAACATCACATTCATGAACGAAGACACTAAAATCCACGAACTAGAGAAAGAACTGACTAAAATACAGTGGGATATTATTGACATATCCGAAGTAAGACGAAAAGGAGAACAAAAAATACACCTAAAATTAGGAATTGTGCTATACTATAAAAGTAATGAAAAAAAAACACCAACAATGGAGTAGGATTTATAATAAATAAAAAAGTAGTTAAATACATACAATCTACCAAGGGCATATCAGATAGAGTAGCATACACGACGCTTAAATTAAAAAGAAAGTCTTTAAAAATCATACAGGTGTACGCTCCAACAAGTACCTACAGCAATGAAGATATTGAACATTTCTAGGAAGACATAACAACAGCTATGGAAGAAAAGAAATCAAAAGTAATGCTAATAATCGGGGACTTCAATGCCAAAATAAGAGAACAACTATATAAAGAAGAAGACAACGTAGGACACCATGGATACAGCAAAAGAAATTAATAGAGGACACCCATTGAATGAATTTACTTGGAGGAAAAGCAGCTATATGTAATGAATACATTATTTAAGAAAAAAAACAGAAAAACGAGTTATCTAGGACATATTTACAGAGGAGAAAAATATAACTTCCTACGACTTATAATGGAGCGGAAAGTGGAAGGAAGAAGAGGTTAAGGAAGAAGAAAATGCTCATGGTTGAAGAATGTAAGAGACTGGACAAGTATGGACACACATTCGATACTAAGAACAGCTCAAGATAGAGAGCAATTTGCTGTAGTTATAGCCAACCTTCAGTAATGGAGAAGGCACCTTAAGAAGAAGAAAAAACCCCAAAGAAAATGGACATGGATTAGTCTCAATGGTGAAACTAAAAACGAAATTGGTTATATTCTTTCAACGTAAAAATCCATGGTTAAAGACGTAACAGCCCTAAATTGCTTCTCAACTGGTAGCGACCATAGACTAGTCCGAGCCAAGCTGATCATTGATAGTAGATTTGAAACAAGAAAGAAAATGGAAAATAACCAGAAATTAGACATGGAAAAACTAAAACAAGAAAAACAGACGTCTCTATCTTCAATCCTGACCCCCCAGGTGGAGTGTATGTGGTCGACGTGATGTCGTGTATTGTCCGTCTCCAGAGATCTCTGTCTCTGGTCATTTCTTTTAATTCATGCATAGGTCTTTGGCATATTCCTGTAATTTGATCTATCCATCTTGTTGGGGATCTTCCCCGTGATCTTCCGCCTTCTATCTTTTCTTGTATTATGAGTCTTTCCATGTTTTCTGTGTTTGCTCTCATAACATGCCCAAAATATTTTAATTGTTGGAGATGGATTTTACTAGAGAGTCGTTGGCTAACTTTTAGCTCTCTTAAAATTGAATTATTTGTTCTACGGTCGGTCCAAGGAATTCGTAACATTCGTCTCCAACAGAACATTTCAGTGGCGTCTATCTTTCTTCTCTCCGATTGTCTCAGAGTCCAAGATTCACATCCGTAGGTCAGTATTGGGAATATTAAGCAGTTGATCAACCTCATCTTTATCGCTCTTGAAATTTGACAGTCCTTCCATATTTTGGTCATTTTTGCTGTGGCAACTTTTGCTAGATCACATCTACGTTTAATCTCTTCTTGTAATGACCCTGTGTTTGTGATTAATGATCCCAGATATAAGTATGAGCTCACAACCTCGAACCGGTCAATTGTGGTTATGTGTGGATGATTGTTGTGTAGTCTATCCACTATCATGATCTTTGTCTTTGATATGTTTAATTGCAGACCAAATATTTGACTTTCGTTTTCGATCAGTCGTATAAGTTCTATCAGCTCTGCTTGACTATTTGCAAGAAGGGCTGTGTCATCTGCGAAACGTAGGTTGTTTAGTTTATGACCATTTATTGAGATGCCCTTTTCCCATCCTTCAAGTGCTCTTCGCATAATATACTCCCCATATATGTTGAATAATTGTGGAGATAGTATACATCCTTGTCTGACACCCCGTTGTGGATGAAATTCGTTCGAAAGTGTGTCAAGTACTTTAACTGATCCAGTAGTGTATTCATATAGTTCGGTTATAAGCTTAATTAGATGTTGTGGTACGCCTACTTCTTTTAGTATTCTCCATAAGTGTCTCCACTTGACCCTGTTGAACGCTTTACGGTAATCTATAAAACAGATGTATAGTGGGATGTTGAATTCCCTAGATTTCTAGATTATCTGTCTTATATTCAGCAGGTGTTCTCGAGTGCCTCTACCTTTGGTAAATATTGCCGACCAAGGAAGATGTAGAACACAAACATGATATTTACCAATGAAAGTGAGTAAAGAAATAGCACAGACAACAACAAAAAAAGAAAGCTTCATATTCCAGTACACAAAGACTATTATGAACACAAGAAGAACATTACTAGAACAAGGGGACAGAAATAAAATGGAATACAAAGAAATAAACAAAACTATTAGAAAAAATATCAAGGAGTGTAAACGGAAAGTACAGGAAGAAAAGATAGAGAAAACAATTGAAAAAAATAGAAACATGAAGTGCTTAAAGCAGAACCTGGGAAACATAAAAATTAATAGCATAAAGAACAAAAGAGTGGGAACCAACAACAAAAGAAATTTTACAGATAACGCACGAATATTATACAAATCTCTATAAAACAGAAGAAAATCCAACCCAAGAAATCCATAATCAGTTACAACTGAAAATAAAGAACGTTAACTCTGACCTATAACCAGAAATCAGTACAAATGAAATAAAAAAGGCACTCAAAGAAATGAAGAATAACAAATCTCCTGGGAATGATGGAATAACTGTGGAAATGCTAAAAAATGGGGGAAAACTACAGTGGAAGTCCTTTATGTACTAATGAATAAAATATTGAACACAAAACAAATACCCACCACATGGAACGAGGCAACAACACTATTACTATTTAAGAAAGGCGATAGAAAATATCTGAAAAACTATAGGCCCATAACGCTACTTAATGTAATGTACAAACTGTTAACTAAACTACTAACAAACAGATTAACAACTAAGTTAGATAATTACCAGTCAAGATAGTGAGCCGGTTTTAAAAAAGGATTCAGTACAAGCGACCATCTGCTTACGATAAAAATATTAATTGAAAAGGCCAACGAATATCAAATCCCAATGTATGTGGCATTTATAGACTTTGAAATAGCATTCGATAAGGTGGAACATTGGGCAGTAAAGAACTCTTTACAAAATGGAAGAATAGACTATGGATACACGGACTTAATTTTCAATATATGATAAAGCAACAACATCAATTAAAATATTTGAACAAACGGATCCTATTACAATACGGCAAGGGGTCAGACAGGGTGACAATATATCACCTAAACTATTCAATCAAGCTTTGGAAGGCGTTATGAGGAAGTTACAATGGGGAAAACGGGGTATGGCCAATACTTGAATCACTTGAGATATGCAGACGAAATTGTATTAATAACAGATAAAAGGGAAGAATTACAAAATATAATGGATGAATTAAATCGCGAATCAACAAAAATAGGTCTACAAATGAATTATAATAAAACGAAAATTATGACCAACCAACCAGAAGAATTAATAATTACAATTGCACAAACAACTACAGAACAAGTAAAAGAATATGTATATTTGGGACTACTAGTTAAATTAAATAAAGAAAATCAGACCGGAGAAATAAAGAGAAGGATACGGTTGGCTTGGGTATCCTTCGGAAAACTTTCCTATATACTAAAAAATAGAAAATACCCCAATATTTAAAAACAAGAGTCTTCAACCAATGTATACTTCCTGTTCTCACCTACGGTTCTCAAACTTGGACGTTTACAAAGGAAAACATGGAAAAATAGCAAAGACCCAAAGAGCCATGGAAAGGCAAATGCTGAACATCAGGCTATCAGACAAGAAAAGAAATACTTGGATCCGCAACAAAACAAAAGTGACCGATGTATCAACGCAGATAGCAAAACTTAAGTGGAAGTTCGCTGGACATACCATAAGACAGAAAGACGACAGATGGAATAAGATGATTATACACTGGAGACTATATAGTTACAAACGAAAAAGAGGAAGGCCACAAATGAGATGGTCAGATGACTTGAAGAAACACGCAGGCCCGAAGTGGATACAAACTGCCTACAATAGAGAGACGTGAAGCAGGAAGAGGAGGCCTATGTCCAAAATTGGACAGCAAGGGCTGTATAGATAGATAGAGAAACATTTTCGATGATTTGCACCAAGCTGGAAACAACTTTCATCAGATATAAAATCATTATTAAAATTATCTTCTTGAACACTGAAATTGCACTAATTTTTTAACGTTTCGGACGCCCTTTCTATATAAATATACCACCACTTTTCTTTTTTCTACTATCTTACTTCTTCAATTCTTACTTCTACTTGTGGCATCATTTCACAAATCTTAAGTCTGTTTACAAAAAACAATATTTCACAGCTGCTGTTGTCATGCGATTTTATCCATAACCTACTTTGAGCACAACCTACTTGATGCATTACTTTTGTCTTAAAATGTTACAAAAAGGAAATCTATTAAAATTTAAAAAAAATACTAAATCTTTATCTACCTCTAAAATCAAGGATAACTTATCAACTATTCCAAGCGCGGGGGGCTTTGTGTGCTGAGCATCAAATAAAAATATTTATGGAGGACAAGGAATTATCCAAAAGAGACAATGCGATATATATTACAGCAGTCACAAGAATAATCACGAATTCGGGACCGCATTCATTGTTAACAAAAAAGTAAAACATCTTATTATGGACTTCAAACCAATAAGTCCAAGAATATGTTACCTAAGAATAAGAGGTAAGTTTTTTAACATCAGTATCATAAATGTATATGCCCCAACCGAAGACAAAGAAGAGGATGTCAAAGATCAATTCTATGAGGAAGTAGAGACCATCTACTATAGATGTCCCAGAAACGACATCAAGATCATAATTGGAGATCTTAATGCAAAAATAGGGAAAGAAAATATATATAGTGCATACATCGGAAAATGCAGCGCTCATGACGTCACCAACGACAATGGAAATAGAATAATAGGATTTGCAGCATCCAAGGGCATGGTCGTTGGAAGTACCTACTTCCCCATAAGAATATCCATAAAGTAACATGGACGTCGCCTGATGGTACAACCAAAAATTAAATAGATCACATCCTAATAGAAACCAGGCACTTCTCTAATCTAATGGATGTACGTACTTATCGTGGAGCTAATATAGATTCAGACCACTTCTTAGTAGGCGCAAAAATAAGAGCAAGAATCTCAAATGCAAAAAAAGAAAAGGGTAAGAAAAGTACTCGCTACAATTTAAAACTCTTGAGCCCCGTGCACTAGAAAGGTATCAAAATTACCTTGAACATAAAGCACAACAGATGAGAATTTAACAGCTAGCGAGCAATGGGATATATGTAGAAGAACAATTAAGGAAGCGGCAAACAACGTCCTAGGACCAGAAGAATCCACTCCACGCAACAGTTGGTTCGACGATGAATGTGAAGATATCACTAAAAGAAAAAATTATGCATATAAACTTATGCAACAAAGAAGAACACGGGATAAGGAGCAAATGTACAAAGATCTTAGGAAGGAGGAAAAACGCATACATCGAAGGAAAAAGCGGACCTTCGAAAACCAGATTATGCAAGAGCTTCAATCATTAAAGGGGCAAAATGAAACTAGAAAGTTCTATAATATCCTAAATAAGACAAGAAAAGAATTTAAACCACGGCTGACGATGTGTAGAGACAAAAATGGACATATAGTCAGTACCGCTGACGCAGTACAAAGCAGATGGGTTGAGCACTTCAAAGAACTACTTGGTACCGAAGTGGAAAATGATGCGTCACCCCAAAGACCAAGAAATAACACTCACGTAGAACCTCCTTCAATATTTGAAGTGAAAGACGCAATCACACGACTCAAAAATAGCAAGTCCCCAGGAGTGGATTGTATCCCCGCAGAGCTCATCAAACATGGAGGTAACAGCATTATGCACCAAATTCACAACATAATAGTCAAAGTCTGGGAAGAAGAACAAATGCCAGAGGAATGGTGCACTGGAATCATATGTCCACTGCACAAAAAGGGAGATTTGTTGGAATGTAAAAATTATAGGGGTATAACTCTTCTGAATACAATGTACAAAATATTCTCCAACACCCTGTACAGCCGTTTAAGTACGTACGTGGAAGAAATCCTTGGTGAGTATCAAAGCGGTTTTAGGCCAGGTAGGTCAACAATTGACCAGATTTTTGTGCTACGTCAAATCTTAGAAAAAACCAATGAATTTAATATTGACACGTTCCATCTCTTTGTGGACTTTAAGTCAGCGTATGATAGCGTCCTAAGAGGTAAATTATACGAAGCCATGAATGAACTTAACATTCCCCATAAATTAATAAGGCTCGTAAAAACAACTATGAGTAAAGTGATCTGCAGAGTGCAAATACAAGGCGATATGTCACAAGCGTTTGAAACATATGCAGGGTTACGGCAGGGAGACGCGCTGGCGTGCCTTCTCTTTAATATAGCGTTAGAAAAGACTATAAGAGATGCCGAGTTACACAATAGGGGAACAATCTTTAATAAATCAACGCAGATTATGGCTTACGCTGACGATCTGGATTTGATCGCACGTACTACACGAGGACTTAAAGAGATGACTTCCACCTTCTTGACAGCCGCACAAAATATGGGCCTTAAAATAAACGAGGAAAAAACCAAAATGTTAGCATCTATTCCAAATAACAGAGATAGAGCTAGAAACGCCGAACAAAACTTCAGTATAGACCAATATAATTTTGAGGTAGTAAATAAGTTTACATATTTGGGTTCTCTCATAACAAACGATAATGACACATCTGAAGAAGTTAAACGGAGGGTACTGCTAGCAAACAAATGTTATTTTGGACTAAGCAAGCAGCTAAAAAACAGAAATTTAAGCCAGAAAACCAAACTAATAATATATCGAACACTCATCCTACCAGTGCTGACATATGGGTCAGAAACATGGACCATCTCCAAAACAGACGCAAATCTTCTGCTCGTCTTCGAAAGGAAGATACTAAGAAGAATAATGGGCGCATTCTGTGAGAATGGTATTTGGAGAAGGCGATATAATTTCGAATTGTACGAGAAGTATAAAAAAATAGTAAATGGTAGAGATGTAATATCCTTCATAAAAATAGGTAGGCTTAGATGGGCTGGACATGTGTCAAGAGCAAATGAAAATTACCCACCCAGACGAACTCTATTATCGGTCCCAGTGGGAAATAGGAGTAGAGGCAGACCACGACTGAGATGGAGGGACGGTGTGGACGAGGACGCAAGGAAAATCGGCGCGGCAAATTGGCAACGGTTGGCGATGAACAGAAACGACTGGCGAAATAGACTGGGGAAGGTCAAGGCTCAACTAGAGCTGTAGCACCACTGATGATGATGATGATGGAATGTGGACAGTAACTGAACGTTATGGATGTGTTATTGTTCTTATTTTGTAATTGTTTTTATTTGTACAGTGTATTTTTTGTTGTAACAAGAATACTACAGTAAATATGATTTAAAATCATTTTATTGCTAACAATTTGCTTAAAAAATAACAATGAATCCATATAAAATAGTTAAAAAAATTGAAAAATTAAAAATTGTTTTTACATCATATATATTATTGTCTTTAGATAAAATTTTCGGTAAATTTACATTTTTGGCTTCCATTTGTATGACCCAGTATACTTGAAGTTATTGTTATACAATAGTTCATCGGCTTCTTTTGGTCCCCTGCTACCATATCTAAAAAGAAAATTGCATATATTAAATAAAACAATACTTTTAGGGCGTAGTGAATTAAGGTAGGCCTAGGAGAGAGAAGTGGTCGAGATGCGATGCGATTATACAATGCTGAAATGCCCGGATGAGTGTCTTACACGGGACCCGAGAGAGAATGCTCAAATGCTGCTCCAATCCAATAATTTATAGAAAAAAGCAAAGAACTGCCAATTCCACCGGTTTAAACGTATTTTAACAAATTTTAACACATTGGGTTATTTCTTTCAGCAATAAACCATTTTTTGCGATATATTTACGAAGACAATGCATAATATAAAACAATACAGCTGCAAGGTGTATTACCCTTTAACGAGATTTCCGAAAAGCAATAAACCTTACCGATTCACTTCTTGGTAGACATTATTTTCTGTTTTTTTTTTTCTAATGAATTTGCAAGTGGTTTAGATACGAGGAAGAAACATCTTATGAGCAGATGTGCTGAAAAACGAAAGCTTTTTACTAGTTTTTATATTGAGACGAGGAATGTCATTGGCAAACGAGAATAGAAGTGTGTTTTTCTTTATTAACAATATATACATTCAAATATTGGAACTGTTCCACGATCCGCTAGAATGGTAGGTCATTGAACGCCAGACAGATGTTCGATAGGTAGGTATAGTCCTTTTCCATCATATTGATAGCACATTATGTATGCAAATGTCGTCTCCGGGCGACTATTAGTAAACGTAGGAAATTGAAATGCAACTTGGTGCTATAACCATGTTTACTAATATCATCTAACTATTGCGCAATATTGTGCAATATTGCGTAGTTAGCCGGTACGCTCTGTTTTTGGTCATTATCTTGTAAAAGACAATGCTGCAGGTGGTGTAGGTACTTTAGAAATGAAACACAGTATTTCTAAGTAGAAAAAAACTCAGCGTCAGAGTCTTTTACGGTTTGGTGTGAAAATTGCCGAGTCCTCCAGTGAGGAGCTCGACGGCTACTCTCTGAGAGTAAAACTACGACTGAGAGCGAGATCCGAAAATGTCCCATATTTAAAGTATTTTAACTTTTGTATGAAACCTTTTCATTTCTCGACCAATTAAAATAATTAAAAGTTTTAAAAGTTAAAAAAAAGGAGGACTAGGCAAAGTCGAGGCGCGTGATTGGTGCGCCTGGACGTCACAAATCCTCAACAGGTCAAAAAACCATAGGCGTCACCCTATACTTGTTTTGAAATAAATTTCATTATCTTTTAAAAAATCTTCTGTAAAATAAGTGTCCACTAATCTCACTATACCTTTTTTGTGCGTAAAAAACGTCGGTATATATGCCACACGATTATTGTTAATTATATACGGGTGATTATTGTTTTCTATACAAGTTATCGCCTGACACAAAAAGAATACCTTCTTTGAACGATTACCTGGAATTACTGATAAGGCTTCACTAATGATAGTTTAAGTAGTTTTTATGCCACATTACAGCTTATGCCAATAATATAAATTAGAAATTGTTTGCATCTTCCATTTAGTTTGTAGATGTACATTGTTCACGTCTTACCTACCTACGTTTTTGGTGTCGATATTTTGTTATTTGCATTTAAAAATGACGTCGACAGCAGGTTTTATCCCGGTTAAGTGTAGTTTTAAAGGTGCCTTCAGTCTAAGAGAGAAAAATATAATATTAAATGTACACGATGCACTTGTACATCAACGCCCTTTAAGTAATGTTCGTGAAATCGTTAACATGTGTTCAAATATGACAGGGGTTGGAGAAGAAACAATTTATAGATTCCTAAAAGAAAGAAAAGGAGGAACTGTTTCATCTCCCAAGAAGAGTGGAGGGAGTAAAACCTTGGAAATTGAAGAAATACATAAAAACATGATAAGACGCAGCGTCCACTAATTTTTTTTTTAGCAAAGAATTTCCAACATTGGACAAAATCCAAACATTAATTAGAGAAAACGAAGAGTTAACTATCATAAGCAACAAGAAATAGGGGACTATTGAGAGAGATGGGATTTCGTTGGCAAAAGAATAGAAGAAAATCCGTTTTAATTGAAAAAGATTACATTGTATGTTGGAGACGAGATTATCTAAGAACTATTAGAAAGTACCGAGAAGAAGGGAAAACAATTTTTTATTTGGACGAGACTTGGCTAAATGAAGGTCATACTGTACCATATCTATGGGTTGATACAAATGTGAAAAGTTCCCGTCAGGCATTCATCGAAGGTGTATCTACTGGAATAAACAATATTCCAGATGGAAAAGGACGCAGACTCATAATAACCCATATTGGAAACGAATACGGTTTTGTCAATGGTGGATTATTAAGTTTTGCCACAAAATCAACCAAAGATTACCACGAGGAAATGACTGCTGGCGTTTTTGAAGAATATTTTGAGCAAATGTTGGATTTAATTAATAATAGAGAAAAAAGGAGAGATAATCGAATGGTTGGATAAACACGCAATTGAGTACAAGGAGAATTCGACAAAAAAGGAATTATTACCTATTGTAAGGCAACATAAAGCAGCTTATAAAAAATATATAATTGATGAAATGGCATTAAACCGTGATGTAATTATTTTACGTTTACCCCCATACCACTGTGATCTGAATCCGATAGAAAATATATGGTCTCAAGTAAAGGGTGAAGTCGGACGCAACAACAAAACTTTTAAATTAGAAGACTTACAACAATTATTAGAACATTCCTTATCAAAAGTAACTCCAGAAAATTGGAAAAATGCTGTTAGTCATGCTCACAAGGAAGAAAATAAAATGTGGAATTTGGATAATATGACTGATGCAATGCTGGAACCGGTAATAATTAACATTGGAGTTGAAGATTCCTTAGATTCTGAAGAAAGCAGTGAATCTGAAATGTAATTTGATTAAAATAATATTCATTTTTTTACGAATCGGCCCCTGTTACGGCCACAAATTATTTTATATATAACCAATAAAATAAACATCTTACATTTCTTGCAAATTCATTAGTACCTGTTAATCTCCATCACTCCGACACTTGCAACTTTATATAGAGATTAGTAACCCTCAAAATTATTGTATTCTATTCTGTTTCAACCTTTATACCTGGTGGTCATACTCAATTTAAAATTGTTTTCCTATATACTTCTGTAAACTTGTTGACAAATATCTATTTTTCATTGAGTCACCCGTATCAACAGTTTAGGGATTTGCATACATAATGTGCTATCAATATGATGGAAATGGACTATAGCTACAGTAGCATAGGACTAATCCACTTCAGAATAGGAGTGAAGGCATTGAAGGGCGACTACGACCGTGTAGGTTATTAATACTTTTGTGATATAAACTAGAGGTGTTGGGCAACATAACCAAACTATTATTTTATATCATCCAAAATGAACTGCTTGTAAAAAATATATTAAAAATTACTTACACGTATGGAACAGGTTTCACTCTTTCTTTTTCGATATAATGTAATAGAGGGGTAAATATTCTCCAGGCTTCCGTCAATTCATCAGCACGAACAAAGTGCATTTGGGAACCGCAAAATACGTCTAATATTAATCGTTCATATGCTTCCGGAAGCTTTACATTCTAAAATAAAAAGTAATATTACAATACGAAAAATATATACCAGTTATCATTAAAATATATTATTAGATTAAAACCAACTTACAGCATATCTATTACTATATGTAAGATCTAGTTCGGTTTCTTCCATATCAAAAGCCATACCAGGGGTTTTTACCATAAGCTTTACATACAGGGCTTCTCCAGGTTGAACCCGAATAACTAGTTCATTTCTCTTGGGTTTTCCATCAAATATATCACCAGGTACATTCTTAAATTGTATTCTTACTTCAGCCTTTCTTTCATTCAAGGCTAAAACGAAAATATACAGATAAATTTCTGTAAAGTATATATTCACATAAATAAAATTAAATTATACTTGATCCAAATTAATAATTATTTAAATTAGTCCTCGATTTACTTAAGATTTTAAAAATGAAGAGTTTTAAAACCACGTTTTACCTTTTCCACATTTCAGTATGAAAGGTACACCATCCCACCTCTCATTATTGATATGGACAACGGCTAAGGCATATGTCGGTGTAACAGAATCTTTAGGAACACTCGGATCATCTAAGTATCCTAATTTCGAATCACCTTCTCCATCAGGATTTCCAACGTACTGACCCAATACAACATCTTTAAGCTTTATTGGAGCTATACTCTTTAATACCTTAACCTGCAAAGTTAAAATATATATTAAACATCAGCTTTGTGATATTTCTAATAATAGTGGTAATAGTTGACGAGGATTTTCTTAGCAGATAAATTGGAATTATTCGATAAATATAGACACAGAATGGATTTTGACGAATAAAAAATACTATAGTATTTACCCAGTTACATGTTATGTATTTATATATATCTACTCAGATATATTTACCCAGTTGAGCTATAGAAAACAATTGTAATCAGGTTAGCCGTAAAATAAAACTTTCGTCGATTAGTAGGTTAGTAGTTCCTTCTCCTAGCGGAAGTTAGTTATCATCATAACTATTCGTTTTTTAAAGCTGCTGCTCTGAGGAGGTCTACTTAGCTGCAAGTATTCCAGTGCTAGTGATTGGTCCTTTCTGGGCTGTGAGATGACCTCGCCGTGGTGAAACGGCCTAGTAATCAAGTAGCTATATTGTGGGATATATCTGGATAAATAGCGTCTATGCACTGGGTGCGCAGCAACCGGTCACAAGTGCTGCGCCTTCTTCAAAATCACCCAGAAACATCCTATTTCCTCCCATATAATCAAACCTATCCTGCATGCGGGTGAGCGCAGATGAGCCGGGACTAGTCACCCAGGCTCATCTCTGGCCATTCACCAAACCCCAAGTCACTAACCTTTTGATGATTTGGATTCTTAACATCCCACTTTGCTTTAATTTGTCTTGGGTGGAATCTTTTCAATCGACCTGCCTTGATGAAACTCTTCTTCGGCTTCGGTCATTTCACTCTTTTTCTTCCAGGTTCAGTACATAGGAAGGCGGCTGAGTACTAAAAAACTACCGCCTCCTCCAACCTCAATGCGGAGTCGGATAATTGTTCCTCTTTAAATTTAGAGTAGGTATGATACAGGGTCAAACGCCAACGGTGGAAAACCTGGACGAGTCATTAAGGAAGCTATAGATTGCAGTAAAATAGGCCGTCGAGAGGTGAGCAGCATACCATACTGGTGGAGTGCGGACATCCTCAGAGATAAATGCATAGCCATGAAGAGAAGGATAACAAGGGCAAGGGGTAGAGCAGGGATAAACTCTGTTGTCGTCGAGCAACTCCAGCAAATCGAAATGAATACCGCATACGAAAGAGAGAACTCTATAGAAAAATCGGTACAGAAACAAGAAAGCATTGGAGAGAACTGTGTGACAAGCTGGATGAGGACATCTTTGGTCAGGGATATAGGATCGCAATGAAAAAGTTCCATACGTACCCCTCATACCAAATGCCAATAGACAAAAAGCTTGAGATAACACGAGAGCTTTTTTCTTCCGGCAGATGGCATGGAGTTTGGAAGGACGAGGGAGCTGAGCAGGCCGTACCCTTTACCATAGATGAGTTAGTCGAGGCATTAGATGCACTCTAGATACGTAGATACCCCGGACTAGATCAGATACCGCCCGAAGCAGTAAAGGGTCTAGGACGCGCGGAATCTGGGTGGCTTTCCACATTAGTTTTTGATAGCTTTCAATACATCACTAAAGAGATTTATAATTTAATTACTAGTAATTCGACACAGATAAAATGATTTGCAGATTCCATATTTTTGTTTTCAATGTATTCATTTTTATGATATAGTTATGTAATAATTATGTTGCTGCTATTTATTGGTTTGATTAATGTTCGAATAGTTAGTTTAGGATTCTTTATATTTGTATTTGAAATTGAATTGTAAAAAAGGGTTCTCCCGTTAATACATAAATAAATAAATAATACTTAAACTGAATCTAAAAGCTCTAATACAATTCTGAGATATAAAAAGATCAAAAATCTAAAATCTAAAAAAAAAACTAAAATCATCTCGAAGACTTTCTCAAAGATGCTATAAATCATAGACTTTATATTTTTGGATGATTATATTCACATTATAATATGCTTTTTTCCTCACTTTTGTCTCAATATGAGTATAAAGAAACAATAACACGGTATTTACACCTAATAAGTTTGTGTATTTCTTCTTTAAGACCAAATGTAAAAAGTATATCTTAAAAAGATAAAAAACATACAAGCCAAACCGTCCAAACCCTCGCATCCAATAAATTATTGGTGAATCAGAAGTGGAACACACATTATGACGAATCGCAAAATAAAAAGAAAGTATTTAAAAATGAATTAGCAGGGAACAGGTTCCGCCTTCTTTCCGTCAACTAATTAAAATTGTACTATAGTACGATAGGTACAATTGGTGCGATGACTCGTTTAGTACCGCCCCTTTAATTGATTTCTTCTGTTACAAAAAGTTAGCGGTGGATAATTCTGTTTAAAACGGTATGAAAATAATCTTATTTAGTTTAATAATAACTAATATTTAATACTAATAGAACCGAACAGTTCCATTACTAGATAATTCAAAAATTCCATGTGCTATAATAGTCTAGGCGGGATCTGTTTTGGATTGGAAATTTTCGAGGGAAGCTATTTTTTTGCTGGAATCCCTTCAGGATATGCCCAGTATCGATAATCACGATATGCGCCAGTCGCAAACCCTGTACTAAATTTTTTATTTAACAAAATCTGAAAACAATTGAAAATTTCTCATTTTTTTGCTCCTATTTTCATTTATAATTCGAAAAATATTGATCTTAGAGAAAAAATTATAAGTAGTTAAAAGTTTCGTTATTAAATTTTACACAATATTTTGTTAGCTAGAAATTGAAAATTTAATGGTTATTGTTGAAAAAATAGCAATAATTGGAAAAAAAAGTACAAAAAAATGAAGTTAATCCTTTAAATGTTTTCGACTTTCTAAACTTGACTTACAAGTTCCATATTCCGCCTAGAAAAACTTTTTAATATGTTTAAAACGTGTGCTAAATTTTGTTAAGATCGGTCGGATAGGTTTTGCATAATAATTTTGCAATCCAGCCTACTGGAAAAAAATCGCAAATTTTCAAATTCATAGTAGGCTCTAAATAAGGCCTTGAGATAGTTGCAATTTTTTTTACATATAAAGGAAGTCTCACACTTTCAAACGCTTTTTGTAAAATTCAAATCGGTTTACTAGGAAAGCCTATAAATTTTTTTAAAATTATAAACATTTTTTAGGCTTATAAACAAATTAAATAACTTTACGAGCTTTAAACATATCAATTTCAAAATGAATACACTTAAAGAACATTAAAAGACGCTTCTTTTAAGAAACAAAAAGATACATTCGGCTTACTGGTTGCCGAGATATTGAAGGTCAAAGTTGGTATACATTTGCCGTGTAATCATAAGTGATAGAGGGCTCGTTTTTAAACAAATACCCTCGTCTTGCCAAATACTTTTTATATGAAAAGTTTTACGTAATGCGCTTCATGGCAACATCCATAAAAAAGACAAATAAAAAACCGTTTTCGCGTAAAATGTCGCTCGGAATCCATGAGAGGTGGTGGTGAGGGACATTCACTTCAAATCTGAATCAGCGAGTATCAAGTAGGGGACCATCACTTTGTTTAATTTCGGGTTTTGAAATAGAAACAAAAGTAAAGTGCTCCAAAATCTGTAAGGGCTTGTAAAGTAAATTGTTACTTTTAGTAAACAAATATGTATTTATAAATTGTTAATAAATAATTTGAATTGTTAAAACGAAGGAAATTTTTTTTTGTAAAAATCAAACATTTTAAAATAATTAACATTAAAAATAATTTATTTCTGCAGTTTTATCATAATAATGACATTATTTGATTTGAGAATATATTTTGATTCGAAAGTGACGTGTATATTGTATATTGACGTGTTATTATACTGCTGTGTAATGCTCGAAATTGTTTTTTTTTGAGCTTGCAATTTATACATTGAAGTAAATTGTTACTTTTAGTAAACAAATATGTATTTATAAATTGTTAATAAATAATTTAAATTGTTAAAACAAAGGCGAATGAAACAAAAATTTTCTTTTCATAAATAATCTTTATTTTGACTCAATCTTCAATAATTTTTTTTAAGTCTTTTTCTTTTTCTGGAAGGACAAGAATCTTCAGGTTTTATTTCTTCCTCAAAACCTTCATTTTCCATTTCAATATCTTCATCCTCGATCTGTAAATTTAATGTTTCTTCTCCTTCATCTGTAGCTATATCTTGTGCCTCCAAAAAATCTAAGGAATCCATCGACTCCATATCCATATCTCGTTCAACTTCTTCCAATATTTTATTGTGATCAATATTTTCACATGTTTGACCATTGCAGTGAAGACAATAGTCAGAACATTTGAGACCATGTTTGATACAACTGCATGTTTTTGTACAAAGTTTTTTACATTTGCAACTAATATTTCTGAATAATGAGTCAGGTAGTAATACTTGCTCAGTTTGTATTGGCTCAAGACCATTTTGAGTTAGTTCCCACCCCCACTCAGTAGCATTCAGGTTATTTCCAAGCCACTGCTGTACTTGGAAATATACACGAAGCGAGTGTTGCTCAGCTGCAGATTGTGTAGGTGGCAGCATGGACAATTGAAAATTTTTATTTTTGCAACCTTTTTTAAAGTACAAGTAGCGAATTTTATTCAATGTAAAATCGCACTTTGAGTGGCCCATATACAATGCCGATATAATTTAGCATCCGCTGCGTTTAATTTCTTCCTTAGTTGCACTTTTTTCATTAAAAATGGTTGCTTCTTGCCATATATAATTATTTGTTGAAACCAATTTAACAATTTTGCTTTTTCCTTGATAAAAAAATGCAGAGGTTGTATCACAACCAGAAAATGCGTGTAAAAAACCCACTAAATTTTTTAACGAAGATTTCGTAGATTCACTTATTTTAAGTGCATTATTGAAAGAGTTGTAGTAATAAATTTCTTCCGATTTTTTTCCTTTGCTAGGTTTCCAGAAAAAAATATTTTTATTTTCAGTTACTTTTTGTAAAAATATTACCAAAACATCAATATCCTCTGCAATTATAAAAACTGGCTTGTTATCTGAGGCTAATATATACTTGATACTCGCTGATTCAGATTTGAAGTGAATGTCCCTCACCACCACCTC